GGAGGGCGGGCCTCCATGGTGGGCCTCGGGCAGTCGTAGAAAGAGGACGAGCTTGGCGGGGCAGACGGCGTCCTCGGAACTTGACGGCCCTGGTCCATCTTGCGCGGGAAACCCGTCGATGAGGAAAGCGGTGCTTGGCGGCGCCCGGGGCCGGCGGCCGTCAAATGGTCGCCTGCATGGCGTTTCTCGAGCAGCTGCACCCGTCACCTCCATGGGCACGATGAGGCCGTCCTTGATGTAGTCCTTGATGAGCTGGCCGAACTGCGAGCCGGGCCGGTCCTGCTCGGCACGCAGCAGGTCGCCGGCCGAGAGGTGGGTGAAGCCGTGGTGCTTGACGAGGTTGGCGCACTGCGTGCCCTTGCCGGCGCCGGGCCCGCCGAGGACGAAGAGGACCGTCGTCGTCTTGGGGGAGAAGGTCGGCGTCGACTTGGCCGGGGCCGCGAGGGCGGGCTTCTTGCTGGGGCCGTCGATGAGGGGCATGTTGTCGGAGGGGGGGGGCTTGGCTAAGGAAAAAGGTGGCCATGTCAGCTTGCTTTCACCGCTGGTGTTTCACTGCGGACATGGAACGCTCAGGTCGAAAAGGGGTGGACTGGCTGCCACGTACTGCCGTTTCTGCTGTTGACGAGCAGGGTGTAGGAGATGCTGCAGACGCCGAGGAGGGCGACAAAGGGGAGGACCTTGATGCCGTTCTTGTCCTTCGGAGGGCTGCGAGGAGTAGGCGCGGCGAGAGCTTTGTTGGACGGTGCGCAGAGACGAACTGGCGAAAGGTGCAGAGCGGGGAGCTATCGTGGAGACGCGATGCGGAATGCAGTGCAGGCAGTGGGCAGGCTGCGCCACAAGGTTCGCGGGGTTGCGTGCATTGTGAAATGGTCGGGTGCGATGACGTTGGGACGATGTGAGTGTCCTGCTGATAGGGTCAGGCCTGGTGCTGCTGCTGCTGTTGCTGCACTGCTGCTGTCAAGGCCGTCGTGGTTCTGCTGATCCTCCAATGGCTTCGGTGTGTTGTACTGCAGCTGTGCCAATGGCCAACTTTTTTTTTCGAGGAAAAGGGTGAATTGGCACGGGGATTGGGGACACCAGGCACCTGGGGGGATGTGGCCCCCTCGAGGTAAGGTAATTTGGCGATGCGTGTGCTAGGGAGCTCAGACCCCTGCCTGGGCGCCCCTTGCGTATCGCGCTTTCACATGGTCTGGACTCTGCCAGGCTCTGCGAGAGAACGTCTATTGCCATTCCAGCTTGTTAAATCCATCAATCGTGCTTTGCAGAGGCTCAAACGTCAAGACTACAAGAGTTCAGTTGGTTCAATTCATGGAGTCCCCTCCAACCCCCCCCCCCCCCGCCCTCCCCTCCAACCCCAATTGTCAGGCGTCACCGTTGAGCACCATCAGAGCATCTCGTGACCAGCTCATGCCGCCGCCGCACCCACCGTGATACATGTATGCGCTTCACTGCACCTTCTTCAGCGGCTTGTGAGCTTCCCTCGCGACCCCTCCTAGCCCGTTGACACGTCCATACAGCCACTTGAGCAGCACGGTGCTCGCCGTCATGAGCGACGCGGCGCCCGTGAACAAGGCCACGCGCTGCGCGTGTTGAGAATGGCAAAGATGGGGTAGGGGTACCAGCCGTTGTGGCTGAAGCACAACTCAACCCAGCCCCAGTACAGGAACGCGATGCCCATGCTGATGGCCATGGCGGCGTAGGCGCGGATGGTCCACGGCGGGCTCAGCAGCAGCAGGTCGAGCGTCAGCACGACGGCCGGCACGAGGTGGAAGCCGATGTCGGTCACCCAGTACAGCTCCATGCCGGGCGGGTAGAGCAGCGCCTTGTCAATGGAGCGGATGCCCCAGTACAGCAGGCTGATGAGGACCTCGAGCGGCGCCGACGTCACCGACATGGCGTTCTTCAGCGCGAAGAGCTGGCGGTTGAGGGTCAGGTCGGCGGCGACGCACAGGGCGAACGTGACAAAGGCCATGGCGAGGCCAATGTTGGTGAGGTGCTGGTAATAGCCGCCGTACCCCTTGACCATGGGGTGATCCCACCGATCGAGCCAGCGGAAGGAGAGCGTGAAGGAGACGAGGCCGGCCGTGTGCAGGAGGAGAGAGAAGAGGCGCGAGGGCGACTCGAGCCGCTGGAGAGGGTGACGGGCCATGGTTGTGTCGAGAGGTTCTCAAGGATTGGCGTGTCGGCGATCAGGCGGTTTATTGTTTTTGTAGCTATGAAGGAGATTGGTTGTTGGGTCATAAAAAAATAGACAGTTGAGGGGGGTTTATTGATGATATCAAGACAGTTCACTGTCAACGTCACCGGTGTCCACGTATGGGTCGTCCGGGACCTTGAACAAGCCGAGCCTCCCGTTCCGAAGAGAGCCACGCCACTGCCTGGTGGACGTCTCGCAGTCGTAGTCGACTCATCTTGGCATTCTCAGAAGTAGTTCGATGTTGATCCAAATTCGAGAGGTTGCATTGCATGTCCTCGAAACCTAGATGTGTCTTCCCAATTGAGGCACAAATGCCGTTCCCCTTGTACTGGATGTCACCTGTAGCAGCCCCAGTCGCCCACGAGCGCACTAGTACGGAACGCTGGGCACCTCGTTGTAGGGAGCTGGCAACGCCTGGAGCGACCGCATATCGCATTCATCTGCAGCCGCTAGCTGGGCCAATCGCATCCTGTGATTGGCCTGGGTTGGCTCGAAAACATAACGCCTGAGAGCTTGATCATCCGTCTTCAACTTCGTCGCAAACCTCAAGGTCGATCCCGCCCCCTTCTACGAAAAAGCTATCGCATTGCGTCGCACGAGGCTCCGTGACGAGGCTCGAGCCACCCAAGATGACAGACGACGAGAAGACGGCCAAGCGGAGCCATTCCGAATTTACTGAACAAGATGGCTCAGGTGAGCTTCCCTGCCTTGCGCTGCCTACTGCTCAAACCTGTGTATACCATCTTCAGCATGCTGACTTCCCCCTTCGCAGACAGCTCTTCCGACGACGACATGGGCCCTCAGCTCCCAAGCGAAGCCCCGAAGAAGAAGCGCCGCGTCCTGCCCTACGAGAAGCTCTACATCGCCGCCCTGCCCAAGTCACTCGCTACTCCAAGTCGTTAATGCACAAGGAGCAGCTCGGGCTTCGTCACCGTCACACCCCT